AAAGATGATAATGATGCAATTATGAAAATGTCTGTCAGATGCGTTTCATCGTTTTATGTAATTTTTCTTATTTCTTTAGATCGAATTTCTTTTCTGTGGATGGTACTGAGATTGAGTTACGTCTTATAATCTGCAAACTTAGAATCAAAGAATGGTGCTTTTTTGCTGCTGTTGTACTTTGTACTGTTATAAGTTTATTGCTGTACTTTGTTTGACTGCTATTTAGTGCTTTTCCTTTCAGGTTTTCGCTGAAAATTGCAAATTCCTTAAACTTCGTGCGGTAAAGTTCGAAATTGCTTTCAACAATTTTTTCTTCAGGTTTGCAATATGGCATAGTACTTAGATTGAAGCAATGTAAATTTATTATTGAAATTGAACTTAGTTTTAATTTGCATCGCAAGCTATTCACTGTACTATTAATGAGTTAAGCTGAATTTCAGTCTTAAGGCGTATGCGTCAGAAAGTATTGCCGCAAGTGTTACACGCTCCGGTATGGTCGTGCAAGAACCTTACACTGCACATGTCGTTTAAACATCAGAAGATTACAATCCAGTGTCGAATCAGACTTGAACGAATTTCTCGCTCAAGAGATTCGGTTTCCACATGGCCCTTCCAATGCTCGAAATCGACGTTACCCAAACAAAGCCAGCACTACTTACATTGGCTGCATCTGATGAAGACTATTTTAGTTTCGTCGAAACTTCGCACGTATTCAGTAACGTCCTTAAAGTAAATATCATTTACGACAATGATCGAGTTCGTATTATCATTAAGATAACAGCAGAAAATCGTTAGAAACTTTTGAACATGCTTAAAAGTACTACTAATGAACCATAGATCTGCCTCACAAGAGACGCGAAAGCAGTTTAAATCTTTGCTCTGGTAATATTGAAGTTTAAACACGCGTAAACGAGTGCCTTCTCGGATGACAGAAGCTACTAACGCTTTATTCCGTATGTCATGGTATTTCAATGCAACGTCTGACAGTCCAGAACGATCAACGAGTTGTTTGATACTTGTGCTCATGCAGCGTTGCGATTTAATTGCTAGCGAATCAGCATTTACTTTATATAGCGTTGTTTTATATCACGTGGATGAATCCTTGATATCACTTAAAATGTGTAGCTGCATATTATGGTTTCTTTGTCGCATTTGATTTCACGATGGTCATTAAGTTCACTTTCAAAGCCATCCAGTCTAAATCGAGGACTCAAAAGCTGCATCACCAACAGCTGAAATGGTGCCTAGCATTACTGACTGTGGCACTTCCTTTGCTCTGTACTGGTATAATCTGCATTGCGTTTCAAACAGCCATGGGCATTTGGTTCTTGCAGCATCCCTAAACTGTTGTTTAGTGTTTGTCAATGCTAAAACTGTTTAATTTCCACCGGCAGTTTAGATTTCTCCGTAGTTTTCTTTTTCTGTTTTCATTTTGGTTTTAGTAGGCCCCAAATCTGTTTTACTGTTTAAAATGAAAGATTTGAATTTCGTATTGATCAACCCTACTTAAAAATAAGTAAATTCTATATAGCTATCGGAATGCTACCTATGACTCAGACATACAGTATCAAATACTTCGTTAGCCAAAGAGAATCGTGAAATGTCCAAGCGTCAGTTTAAGAACTTTTCCCCGGATTGTGCAAAAAAGCGAGTACAAGGATTCGTCATCGAGATAGAGAAGTACACGTCCCTGTGCTGGGGACTGTTTGAGAGTGCTTCACGAAGTTCACACACACACACACACACACACACACACACACACACACACACACACACACACACACACACACACAC